GCTTGGCTGTAAAGGGAATTCCGAGAAAATATATTGCACTGATTAAGGCACTCTATTCGTACTCATACAGCCAGGTGAGGGCTTACGGCGAGCTGTCATCTGAACTGATGACGACCAGTGGTGTCCGTCAAGGATGCCCATTATCTCCTTTTCTATTCAACTTCATCATAGATGTGTTAATGGACTTAACCCTAGGTGACTTCAGCGACTCAGGGATTGACTTGCTACCTGGGAATAATCTCGTTGACTTGGAATATGCAGACGATATAGTCCTTCTAGGCGAAGACGCTGACGAAATGCAGAGTCTTCTAAACACCTTGAACCGCAATCTACGAATGTTTGGCATGCGATTCGCTCCCGCCAAATGCAAGATGATGTTACAGGACTGGACTACATCGACGCCTAGTTTAAAAATAGGAAGTGAAGTGGTAGAGCACGTTGACCGCTTCACTTATTTGGGAAGTACCATCAGCCCCAACGGGCTGATCTCTGACGAAATCTCAGCACGAATACAAGGGGCTCGTTTCGCATTTGTTAGTTTACGCCGACTCTGGCGTAGACGAGATGTTCGACTATCGACCAAAGGGCGGGTGTACTGCTCATCAGTCCGCTCCGTCCTCCTTTATGGTTGTGAGACCTGGCCACTGAGAGTGGAAGACATGAAAAGACTAGCTGTCTTTGATCATAGGTGCCTGCGTTCTATTTCCCGTGTAAAGTGGCATAATAAGGTGAGCAACATGGAGGTTAGGCGTAGAGTTCTAGGTAAACAGGGGAAATCAATCGACGAAGTCGTGAAGCTACAAAGACTGAGATGGTTAGGACATGTGTTACGTATGCCAAGCCATCGCCTCCCTCGACGAGCAATGTTAGCGGATATAGGGTCAGGCTGGAAAAAAGCTAGCGGCGGTCAAACAAAAACTTGGCATCAGTCAATGAAATCCACAACAGTTGGTCTAAGCCACGTAGGAAGGTGTAGACTTCCAGGCTGGGGTCCTCGGGACGGTAAAAATCTATGGTTGGAAACAATTGGTGACATGGCTCAAAATCGTTCTCAGTGGCGCAGATGCATCCACTCCCTGTGACTTATGATCTTCAATGAAACTGTTTTGTATTTCTTTATTACTCCTTTGTCTCACACCTCTGCTCACTGTTTCTATTTGCTTTTCTTGTACTTTCTTCTCTTGCTTCGCGTGCTACACGGAATGTGGCGACTTGAACTTCCGCACATTTGTGCAAAGTTCTATGTCGAAAACAGACAGACAGACCCTTGGTTGATAGCCGAATGTCACGCCGACGCCAGAGATGGTGTAAGTTAGCGAAAGCAGCTCGAGCTTTTTGGATCCGTGGTGAGATTTCGTCGCCAATCAGTCCGTTGTTGCTGATAGCTGATACAGCTTCCCAAATAGGTGAAGTGGTGGTTAACATGTTCTATCACTTCACTCCCTATCACTAATCTAGAAGTTGACGTAGTCCAGTCTTGTAACAGCATCTTACACTTTGCAGGGGCGAATCGCATGCCAAACATACGAAGACTGCTGCTCAAGGTGTTCAGAAGACTCTGCATTTTGTCATCATCCTCCCCTAACAGGACTATGTCATCTGCATATTCTAAGTCCATAAGACTATCCTCTGGTAACAAGTCGATTCCTAAGTCATTACGTTCAGTTAAGGATACTTCTATCAGCATATCTACGATGAAGTTAAACAGAAATGGGGAAAGTGGACATCCCTGTCGGACACCACTGGTTGTTACCAATTGTTACCATCTATAGTTAGAACTACAGATAATCACCTGAATCATAGGTGAGCATTCGTATTGACCTGAAGACTTGGTTAGCACTACACTGCATGTACAAAGATAAAATGCACAGCACATCTGGAAGAAGTCTTTCAGGCCAAAAAGCAATTTTTCCACAAGTCTGACCCTTTCGTGTCTTTTGTAACTGCTAAATAAAACACTAGAGGCAAGTAGAAACGCGAGACACTTATGTCATGTTGAGTTCTAACTCTTACAGTTAGCACAGTACACCTTAAATTCAGTAGTCCGTATTCTATGTCTCCGTTATATGAGACTAGTAAAGTGTCTACATCTGAATGGTCTTAATACAGTATATTTAAAAGTGATTGACCGTAATATCACTCGGAAATATTGAATGGAAATTCGAAGTACACCAGTTATAAGCAAAACTGTAACCTGTTCAAATGTAAACATGTTACTTGACTTAGTAAAAGTAGGACTTAATCACTTGTCTTAGCTCTTCAACCCTTTCTGGAACTGCCGCAGCGTCCAACATTTGTCGCATCCTTTGTATTTATGTCGGCATTTGACTGTCGACCGAGAGGTGCTATGCTGAATACGTTTGGTGGGATCTAAATACTTTTAACAAGCACTCCCCCACGTCGAAATGGTGCTGTGCATCGACGAATACCTTAACAGCAATCCGTACACTTGTTGACTATCTCCATCTGGGAAGTGCACCAGTCATAATGGACTAGTTGGTGGCGAAATATTAGGGGATACTGAAGGCTTGTTGGGCATTTGTCAACCTGTTACCTTCAGGACTGATGTGAAGCCCAACTACCCATCAATGGAAGTGTGCTGTGCAGCACTTCGCCCTATCTTATTTGATAGCTGTTAGACGTAGTCATTGAAAGTGAAGGATGTGAAGCCGATCAGTTTTTAATCATATTTGCAGCGTTTAACTTCTCTTAGGCAGTCCAATACAGTGACTGATAATTAGGTAAGGCGTGACATCAACAGATGGGGTTATGAAGCTCAACTGATATAGATAGCGAAACCATGTTACGCATATTGAGTCATTGCTTTCCTTGACGAGCAATAATAGCTGTAATAGGTATATGTCGGAAAGAGTAGGGGAGATCAGATCAAAAGATACTTTCAGTCCATGAGAATTTGTAATATCGATCCAAGCCACATAGATGCGGAGACTGTTTGACTGAGGTAATTCGGATGCTAAGAGCCAATGGTGGGGTAGCTCAAATTTGTCAGTAATGACAATGCATTCGTTCTTCGTCAGCACCTGGATTCCGGAAATCTCAACGGGTTTGCTCTATTTTCCCTTCCAGATATGACACCTTTGCTGGTACATTACGTAACATTTTAAGTCAAAATTTCAAAGGACCGAGTGCATAGTGTGTACTCAATGGACATAAACTCTGGTTGCACTGCAGAAACACTGAAGTGCACCAAAAGGTGAGTGAAAACATTGAAAATAGTAGAACTGCACACCAACCGGACAGGAGATACGAATTTCAAGCAGGAGTCGAGGACAGATGTATAATATCCGGCAATGTTAACTGTTACAGAAAACATCAACGCGCAACAACAAGGTGATCTCAACACAACCAATCACAACACCACTTGGCATCACTGTGGAATGACCGTAAAAAGACAACTAAAAAATTACTTTGCTGGTCAGTGCTGCTGCGTGAGAAACTGTAACTTACAGCAGTCTGTTGACTAGCCTCAAACATCCAGAACCACTTATTCAACAACCAGACATACTACGCGACCGTCAGACAGACATGTTTGAGTCAAGGAACCAGGTCTTCGCTAAAAGCAACCGGCTATGGGTAGTGACTAAACTACAGCTGTTTGGCTTCTTTACGTACAGTATCGAATGTCTACTAACCGTAAATCCAGAATTTTCCACGTTGGAAATCAAAAGTTGACCTGAACATAGAAAAGCTAGAAAGAAAGATTTAACTGTGAGAAGAGTTTCACTGGAATACTTCTTGAAACCAGTCATCCAAGGTTTGAGTAGAACTTCTACACGAACAAGAAGCCGAATGAATGATCTGTACAGTGATATACTTTGTCGCATTATCTCGAGTCAAAGCTGAATATGATTACTTCCAGGTGAATATTTCAAATGGCACACTTGTACACTGATCAATGTAGTGGAACTAGTGCCAGTGTGGTCAGATTCATGGAAAACAGGCCAATAAATGTACATATGGTATAGCTAGTCTAAACCAATAACATTAAGTTAGTTTGATTCAACTATCTGTGGTGTTAAGAATCATCCTTAACGCCGTATTGTGCCACTGAAGTTAAGACATGGATTCCTCCTCAATACAAGACGATTTTAAGAGTCAGTCTGATGGGTATCTACGATGGCTGACCTCAACTCGAAATGCCGCACTTCGGTGCCAAGTCCTACGTTGAATCTAGACAGGCAGATGGCTAATCTGATATATTTCAGCTAGCGAGAAGTGAGACGTCACAAGCAATTCGATCCTTTCCCAGCACCTAAGAGTAACATAACCTAAACCCACTAAGCAACTATAGAAATGAGGCAACTGGGTTTCATAAATACCAACATAATTGCTTAATGGGGAGAGGTGTGGCTCATTGTTTTAAGCGCCTCATGCCCAGTCGACGGGTCCCGGGTTCGGATTACACTTCAACCTGCGCATAGGTGATAAGGTTGTGTCTACTTCCACACGATGTGGTTTAAAGCCTCATATAGACATATTATAGGCAACTAAGTTATCAGGAAGATCACACAAAGATGTCTTATAGGTTTACTGTTCTTAAGTATCAAGAAATTGCTAGATTTGTTAAAGACAGAAAACGTTATCTCAAGTCACAAGTTGGCTAGTTCTCCCGTCACCAAACACATGAGTCGTCCGATATGTCTGCAGCATTTACAAAGACTCAATCTCGAGGGCCACTTTTCAGTGAAGGGCTAAACAGTATAGGAAAACTCGTCAATATTAGCACTTGTTACCACCGAAAAAGAGTCAACAAGGAATGCAGTAAGCTCTTGGTCTTAAGACTCTAAGGGTATTTGAAACAGTAAATAAACTGCCACAATGGCAACATACCAACCTCTTAATATATTAAGAGGTTCATATATATACATATATATATATATGTATGTATATATATATATATATCATATATGAAGAATCCCAGCCAGTTTTCAAAAAATTGACAATTAAGCCAGTGTATTCAAGCTATTCAATCCACTCACCTGGTCTGTTATATCATAGACAATTATAATTCCTTGAGCGCCACGATAGTATGAAGCAGTAATTGTCCGAAAACGTTCTTGGCCAGCCGTATCCCAAATCTGAAGTTTTACAATTTTACCATCCAAATCGATAGTTCGTATTTTCTAGGCATGAATCTTCAAGTAATTATGCACTTACGAAGTCAACACCAATTGTGCTAATGTATGTTTCGCTATAAGTCTCATCCTAATATAATTCAACAATAAATACGTCTTAATAACTTACAGCAAATCTTAGGAGTAAACTTGATTTTCCAACACCCGAATCCCCAATTAGCAGAAGTTTGAAAAGGTAATCGCTGAGAAAGAACAAAAAGTCAAGTAAAATATGCCAAAATACACAGCAATTTCAAGCAAAACTCAGGAAACTTACTAGTCTGGACTCATCTGGACTGGTGACTGTATACGATAATGCTGTAACCGCCAGCAAACGCTTACGGTAACTTTCGGTTTCAGTGAGGTCTGATAAACAAAAGTGTTTACTAACCTTCAACCTTCAATCTTTCTGTAGGGTTTTTTAAAGCATATTTTCGATCTACATATAAAAACCTGGTGGTTGAATCGGCTTCTTTTAAAGTGATTCCTCTACATGTCCACTCCTTTTGAATGAAATATCTCAATAAAGATCCCGGAAAATAGAACCATATGTGTTAAACTTGGGCACTGTGGTAGTATGTATTTCCATTATAGATATGTCACAAGATGAATAATAATGCTGTTTCAATGTGTGATACATCTAATAAACAAATTAATATGGAGCTCGGAAAATGCATCTCATTTTTGCCGACAGGACTTGTGTACTTGATTCGAATTGTCAGACTGTTTCTCATTCTCACCTAGTGATTACAGAAGTGACGCGGAACAACATGTGTGTACTATAATTATCACAATATCATTATTCTTCCAGAAACCATTTTAATGTACACAGCATTTTAAGGAGAAAAACTCACTGTTTTGAGTCTCCTTCGAGTCAAAATGACTGAATACTGAGTTGTCCGTACTAGAGAATGTTGTCTGGCATTTCCAAGAACGGTATGGGCTACTCTACATGCAAAAACTCGCTGTCTTTGAGCAATCTACTGGTTTGGAGACACGTACAATGGTGTGGACACGCTACTGCATCTTCACTCAGTGCTTGTTTATGTGACCTATTTTAGTTTACAGTCTCTTGAAAGCCTACCCATTTCTCCACCGAATTTTTCTCATTTACTCAGCAAATATATAGTCGTAAAGTCAGGTGACTGATAGCGTGAAGGATTCTAATGTGACTTCAACGATTTAGTGGATATCCGTAATTGGAATCGATCGGCTTCTTTACTTCAGACCATTGAGTCGACATCGCTTGGAGTCATCTGTGTATCCTCTATGTACTACCTTCGCCTATTCACATAACATATGTACTGCGTGTAGTTTGTTCAAGACCTGAACCCCGGTTTAGCAGCCAAGTAACATGACTTATTAGTGTTCCGCTTGCGTGTTGTAAGTTTAAATTAGGGGAAATGAGTCCCTGAATGCTGTGATAGCTAGCATTTTCCAATGTTCCACCACCCGCTTTCTGGTATTGTGAATGTCGATGGTATCATCATTTCAATAGACTCTGATGGAAGAGTCAGATCATCTACGTCACATAAATCCGTCTACAATTTCAATTATTCAGCGTAAAATAGTGAGGATTCCTAAATGCCCCCTGTAATTTATTCCTAAAGTCTTTAAGAATACCCCTAAAGTCATCTCTTACAGCAACCCACATCGTGGCCAGGCAGGGAAATTCGTTTCACGGTGGCAGACCTTAAGTGACCAGAGGGTTAGAATGAAAGAAGTTAGCATTAACTTGGCAAAAAGCGTGGATACATAAAATTAGTTTTAACAATAAAGAGGTTTCAGCAAAATTCAACCCAGTAGCGGTAAATAATTTCCCAAAATTATTGGTCAATAGACTTCCTCACTTACCACTCAGTGCGAACCCTCGCTATCTAAGTCGGTTTTTTAATCCTTATGTGTAGAATCAAGTATCCTCGCTATTCGATGTGCTATCGTATCACAACAGGGAGTTCGTGCAAGCTTCATAGCTCGCTAAGCGATTGCCGCTCAAAGTTTCTGGTCCCGAAATGCATCTCCTTAGGAGATGAGAGGATGATGTTTATTTATTTTTTGATTACAGCTTGATTCCATACCGTATTTTTGGTACAAGTGTGGAATTTTCAGCATGGATATCGGTAGCCCAAAATTCGCAGGCCGACCATAGATATCAGGTGTGCGTCGGCGTGGGCTCGAACCTCGGACCATGTGCATGGTCGGCGAGAGTCCTAACCACTGTGCCACCGACGCACGCAAAGTATGGCCTACACAAACGCAAGTTCTTTGGGCATAATTTAAGTAATTATCCAAAGTACGTCAAAGTCTAAACAAAGCATCAAAGTGATCAAATTATGTGTAATTTATATAATAACTTATCCATGCCTGTACAATAGGTATGTTCCTGCATAAACAGGAAGGAATATATTATTATTATTAAAACAATATTTATGCATGCCTATACAATTGGTGTACCCTACATAGCTAGGGAAAAAAATGTACTTTCTTATATTATCTTTACTAAATATGCTTATTAATATTATGTGTAAATTATCGAATTGATGATGCCTGTAAACTGGCGTCCCTCATGTAAAAAATGAGAATATATATTATTATTATTATTATTATCTCTCAAAATACAAAATGTACCTCGAGATAGAATCGTAGTCAGAGTAAGTAACGGTGCACCAACGAACGGATTTAACACGGTGGTGCACGCAGATGGAGTAGATAGACGACAGGAACCTTCTAGAAAATGAAAAATCTCAAGAGACGAAAATCAATACCGCACGGTGAGCGATGGATGTTGGAAGCTAACAGTTTCGTGGAGTTACATTCTGCTAATCTTCTATTTTGGACGATAGGTCTGCCGTTTTCAATTGATTTGGGCCTAAGCAGAACAAGTACTTTGAGAAATGGAGGATGAAAAATTACATTTGCACATGGCGTATCCTGTGTAGTTGTCACCATCGTTCCATCCCAGAAATGGTGTGACCATACACACACTTCATTTTTCTATCGTTTGGTTTGTAAGGGTAAAAACGTAACTAACCTTACAAACCAAACGATAGAAAAATAATCTGATGCTCGCTAGTGACTTGCCACAGGGTGGAGTTTCCTGGAGTTCCAGTGAGAAGTCGTGACCAGTGAGGTCCAATTAGATGTCACGTGTGTGGATGGATGTCCCACCAATGACAGTGGTTGGGGTCGCGCTAAATCACGGATTGTTAGAAGTTAGAATTCATGAGCCATTGAATCGGGTCCCAGTGGCTGAATGGTTTACGAGCTCGCCTTGTAACCGAAAGGTCCTGGGTTCGAATCCCAGTGGGTGCGTACTGACGATGTTTCGCAAATTAGGATGAAACAGCAGCTGTCCAGTACTCCCTGGTTTTCAATGCTTCTCTAACGGACATCAATCCGTGATCAACTCGTAAAAACACACTTCATTACCTAAACTGGTGAGTCAGTTAACAACTTTCGTCTTCGAAATTTGTGAACAAGCAACCAAACTTCACTGTGCCTTATTGGCCCTCTTTTATTTTTTTACTTGTTAGCCTGGACAGCAAAACCTAATCGGCCGACTAGCATCCACAGCAGTCATACGTGCTTTGCCTTGAGAACCAAGCAGGGGGGTTGCAGTATATCTATTTACTGCAAGTGTCAGCAATCCATTGGAGGAATTTAAGCCGCCATTCTGAGAAGAACAAATGTATTGGTGACTCTTGGAACACGTCATCCTCTGTGTTCTTTGGTTTATTGCCTCTGCTGGAGTTAAAGAAAGAGTGGTAACAAAGCTTGGTGATTGTGCTGTACGGCGATCGCAATTGCCAGTATTTGCTCACTTACCCTCCTCCCTAAATGTATTGATGAAAAAACTAAGTTTAATGTTACCCCTTATTACTCTTACAGTATTAGAGGAAGCGTGGACACCAAGTAATAATAATAATATATATTCTCATCTAAACATAAATTTACATGAAAATGCATGCCATTTTTACAGGCACGATCAAGTATGATATAATATCAAATCGTAAATTGTCTACAAGTCAATAATGTTTAAACAGTTAAATATTTGATATATATATAAATACACTCATTGTCAGAACTAGGCTGTATAGTTATTGAATTGTTCAGTTGCTCCCCAGGTTGAGCGGGAAAATCTACTTCGTTTCGTTTTCATCCCGTGGTTGTCGGCATACGATAACCAACCAATATTAAGGTAAGTACAACGTTTACAAGGGATTGAAAGCTGTTTTTAGAAAAGTAAAAGTGCTAAGGTGAATCAATAAAGTGTAATGAAATGGGTAGGTGCAAGTATCACTAATAAATGCATTAATAAAGGAAACTCCCTAGGCTGACAACGTTCATTTGCAATGTATAATGCTTCCTGTACAGTTTGCACTATCATGATGTCCACTTTTGGTTTTAATACATATTTTCCTTATGCCGGTTTTTTTATTTTATGCCTTTTTGTGCATTTGGTGCGCAACCGTATCCTCCAGAGAATAGGAATAGAATAAGTCGAATCAAATTCATAAAAAGCTATAAAATGTTAGGTTTAATGGAATATAATGAGGGCCAGGTAAAGACGTTATTAGAAAATAAATGAGATGAGACATTGTGAAGTGGTATTTAAAGATCCGACTATGGACAGCAAGTTAGTTAATAAGATGCCCCATAAATCTGTGCAGAGCCCACATGGTTGCATCTCAACAATAGGCTGAGTGAATGGTATATATTTAAAGGCAGAAGCATGATCTGTCTAGACGTTCATTATTATCTTTTTCAAGATAGAGATCTAAGCCCTCATAATAATCAGAAATATCTCGAGCCTTCAAATTGTATATTGCTGTTCCTGCAGAATGGGGTGATTCACCTTAGTGACCACCACCATATCTACCGATCAGCTAGCGCCACCCTCCCTCATTTTTCGATGTTAGGCTCTGAGACTATGATTATTATGGCTACCGCAAATATATTGCTTGGTACCAGACATGTTCGTACCTCATATTCCATCTCCCTAGCTTTCTTAATGAGTGCTTCCAATAGGTCTCCGCGTACATCTTTATGAACATTATATATGTATGCATGCGTCCTAATGAACAGATTACTTTACAAAAAGTTAAAACCTTAAAGAATAAAAAGAACAGGTTTTGTGAATAGTGGAGCAAGATTCAGCAGAACAATATAGTTAGGGATCAATGTAGGTAGTATGAACTGAAGGTAAGGTCGGTTGGCAGGACTTAGTGTACTAAATTATCATGACAGTCTTATATATAGTAAACATTTGACATTGCAAAGTAACCTGTCTA